CCCCTGGTTGAAGGTGCCAGTCTGCCATCCTCAGCTGGGAGGAGCTGGCAGAGAAAAGCAGGGTCTTGCAAAGTCTCCTCTGGGCACCAGGAAAAGGCCTCAAAGCCTTGAGACTCACCCCCCCATGGATGTGGAAAGGGGTGGCAGCTGATGTCAGACAGAGGCAAGACAACTCTGAGGGTAAAATTTGCACTGAGGGTAAAAACTTGCACTTTACTCTGAGGGTCAAACTACCAGCAGTTTGCCAAGTGCACAAGTCCTGATCCAGGTTCACACACATGTGCAGGTGTGGTGAGAACATCTCATCTGCACAAGGGCACTGAGAACAGCCAAAAATTCCTGGTTTGACCAATCCACATCCTCAGCTTGCGACCTGGAAGAAAACAGTTCTTTCCCCCCTCTTTCCCCCTCTGAAGGTCAAGGACTCAGCCACCCACCTCTAAGAGAGAAGAGCAGCATCTCAGAGGACTCAGGCAGCCACATCCTTTTCTCTTTCTGGAGGTACCCAGACGTGCTTTTGGCACATCCCCAGCCTGTGCCAGCCCCTCTAGCAGGCACCACGACTGCTCTGGGTCTCACACAACCTCACCTGACAACGGTGGTTCAGCCTGACCACTTCTCCTGGACACAACACCAAATTCATTTCAGAGGGACATCTTTGTGGGGGAGGCTTTGTGATCCCAAAGCCAGGATCTGGTGCTCCTCTCCTGCTTGTGTCCCCCGATCTGTGTCAGCAGAGCAGTTCCTTCCCCTCTGGGAAGGGCAGCAAAGGCATCATACACGCAGAGCAGAGCTGGCAGGAGGCTTTGGTGGCTCCCCCCACCTGTGAAAATCGCTGTGAAATATTTACGGCCAAACCCCGGGAATACACGTGGCTGGAAATGAGGAGTCTAAAAATAAACCAGCCAGGGGAAAAAGGAGAGAGATACACAGGCTTCCTTTGGAGGCAATTGGAGAGAAAATTGAAGTAGCGTAACTGCCTCTAAATATAGCACACAATTATGGGAATTGAGGGGCACGTTTAACAAGAAATCACCACGAAAAAAAATCCTGAGGCTGCCATGGCTCTGAGCTAGTGATGTCTTAGCAGATGCAGAGCATCACAGATCCCCGCAAACCATGGAGCAGGGAAGGATCCCCCTGTGCAGGGCAAACCCACAGATCCTTTCTGAGGGACCCAGAGAGCAGAGAGCGGCAGGGATGCCTGGTGGGGATGAGTTGCATTGAGCACACCCTGAGGTTTGGCCACATGGTTGCTCTGCACCCCGGCAGGAGATTCAAGAGCTGCACCTTCTTGTATTGCAGATGCTGCTGTGCCAGCCTTGGGGGGGACTTCTCCATGAATGGAGCTCACAAGCTCACAGATTCTGAGGAGAGCCAGGGGTACTTTGGGAATCCGATGGCTCCCTACCTCTCTTTTGTATTTCTCTGTTTTCCCCAGGGATAAGCCTTGGTGATCTCCCACACGCGTCCCTTCCAAGGGGTCAGGTGCTCTCTGTCTGTTCCTGTCTATCTCACTATGCTCCAGGAGCCACTGGAGGAGATAAGATGGGAGGTCAAAGGCAATGGGAAGTTGGAGCATGTCCCAAGAGTAACGGGAGAGTGGAGAGCTGCACCGTACCGGTGCCTTCATCCAGCAAGGCTTGGGGCTGCACAGAAGTGGGGGATGATGTGTCCAAGGGTTACATGGCAAATGTCACCCACATCAGGACTTGACCTTCATCCTTTATCCTTTATGCTTTATCCTCACCTTTTATCCTCAGTCCTTTATCCCCAGTCCTTTATCCCCAGTCCTAGACATCTAACACCTCCTTGGGTGACGTGGGCCCCGTGGCAGGAGGGCAGGATCCTTCAGCCTTTAACCTTCTGGGAAATCAGTGTTGAGATGCCTTATTGAGGGTGAAGTGGTGAGCCCTCTGGTCTGTCTGGAGTCCCCTCAGCACATGTGATGGGGTTAGGGGTGGCCTGTGACCCAGCAGGGTTAGCTCCAAGGCAGTGGGCATTATGGGGGGGGTTGGAGCAGAAGAAGCCCAGGCTGTGGTTGTGATTATCTGGGCCTTCAGCATGGGCAGCATCATGAGGGCTGGGGGCTTCTCTCATGGCTCTGTGCATTCATAGAATCATAGAATGGTTTGGGTTGGAAGGGACCTTGAAGATCATTTTGTTCCAACCAGAACATGCAGTTCTAACCAGGATTATCGAGTTCCAACCTATCCATCTCCATAGGGTTGTCTCAGACCAGTGTGCAGCAGATCCCTCTCCTCCTAGGGGGAATTCATCTGGGACTTTTGGGCACCTCCTCATCCCACTGAGCAGGAACAAGAGAGTGAGATCTGAGCTGGGCTGAGTCATAAGTTCCCCCTCAGGGCCTGTGATGCCTGTGGATACACTGTGTTGTCAGCGAGTCTCCTACAGGGAGGCTATCCAGAGACATGGATTTGCCATGGAAGAGCTGAAGAAGGGACCTGTTTTGTGGGTGGGCAGGTGTTGCACGACAGCACGGCACTGGCCGGGTTGGACCCAACACATCTCCACTCTGCTGAAAAAGTCACTGAAACGGGTGCCAGCATGTAGCACATGCCACAGATCTTGGCCTCTCTGGGAACAACTAAAAGCTGCCACATTTGGAGTGAAGGAGGATCTCCTGGGCTGCAGTAGGAGAAGGAATGGGATCCACCCAAGAAGTGAGGGTGGCATTCATTCACCTCAGTGAGACTCCACTCCTAAGCCCTGCAGTGATGGTCAAATTTCCATGCCAGGTAGAAAAACACCTACCTAGGGGTCTCTATGGGCATAAAGATCTTTACTAAACCAGAGCATCATTCATATGAGGAAAGGATGAGGGAGCTGGAGCTGTTCAGCCTGGAGAAGGCTCAGAGGGACATTATCCATATGTATAAATACCTGATGGGAGGCAGTGAAGAAGAGGAAGCTGGACTCTTCTCAGCAGCGTCCAATGACAGGAGAGGAGGCAACGGGCAGAAAATAAAAAAATAGTAAATACAGTCCAAATGCAAGAAGACACTTTTTTGCTTTGAGGGGAGCCAAGCACTGACAGAGGTTACCCAAAGAAGCTGTGGTGTTGCCATCCCTGGAGACATTCAAACCCTGACTGGGTACAGGCCTGGGCAACTGGCTCTGGGTGAGCTGTTGTAGCAAGGAATTTGGAAGAAATTTTTTCCAACCTCAACCAGTCTGTGATTCTGTGGATGGTACCTGTTACAGCTCCCCACTTGCCCCCCAAAGGGCCTGATATTAATGCAGCCCACAGCTTGTTATTTCTTATTTTATTTATAATATAAAAAATGTTCAAGTGTTAAACAGTCGAGAGTTCTGACATTCAGACAATCCAGAGCAAACTTTGACAATCATCTTATGACAAATTAGCAGAGTTTTCTATCTGACCCCATCATGGGTGAGGAATAGAGGGTTTAGTTACTTTATTGCTAAAAGTTAAATGAAATAATACACTGTCAATTGTTGTATTATCTTCTCAGTCACAGCTTCACCATGCATCCAATCTACAGTATCTGAAATGCAAAGGACATGCAGAAGTAAAAATATAAAAAGAAAAAAGTCAGGCTACAATGTAAACAGGTTTGCTGCAGAGAACTGAGGAGAGAGGGGCACTTCCACAGGGGGTGCTCTGCCGCCTGGACACGCAGGACTGTCTCTTTGCGCCACAGAGCCGATGGCCAGAGCTGCTCCGAGTTTGGAAACACGATGTCCATCGCCGATGGCGGGACGTGACGGTAACAACTTTCTTTACAATACATGGCACGGCAGTAGGGGAGGATCTGCTTGCTGGGCTGCCCCACACGGGGCCCTTCCCAGCCAAGGCAGGGGCAACAAAGTGCTCAGGGTCCTGCCAAACCCTGGGGCAGCACAGCCAGCGACTGCCCGGCACCGCGGCCGGGGGGAGACGCGGCCGTACCGCGCCTTGGGACCACGCTCTGGGTGTCCTCCTGGCAAGGATGTCGTGCACGATGTCACGCAGGACACCGCAGCCCCCGCAGCCCCACGGCACCACAGCACACAGTGCCCCAGCCAACGTCACGCCGTGGCTGCACCGCTCAGCCAAGGGGGTGCCGTGGCCAGCACGGCACCGGCACGGCAACGCAACCACGGGCACCAGGGCTGGACAGAGCCCACCCCGCTGGGAACACCACACGGAGCCTGCCCAGGATGGATTCAGCGACCCGGATTCAGTGGTACCTGACAGGGTGTGATCCCCCACGGGTGTGATCACACGGGTGTCTGCCTTGCCTGACCACAAACCTGTGCCAACCCCGCTCCAGACCCACAGGTGAGATGGCCAAAGGTTGGGAGATACATTGTGAGGGCTGCTGCTGCTGCGCGATTTCATTTTGTCTTCCTACCTGTGTGGCAAAAGAAACGTTATTTCTTGCATTTCAGCACGGTGGCTTTGGGTTTCTTTTTCTCCTGATTTAAGCGAAAATACAAGTATTTTACAGGGCAAGACAGATCCCTGTTAGACATGATAATGGAAATGCTCCCACTCATGTCCTTAATGTGTGTTTAAACAATACTTTAAAGAATAAGATCATTAATAGCAGGGTACGGGGGGGGCAAAGTGGCGAGGCTGTTTTCTTCTGACAGAAGAGCGCCCTTGTGACGGGTTGTCTCCCAAACAAAAATCTATGATCTTAAAAATGCTACTGAAACAGAATCCTCGGCATGAATCCCAGCACTAGCATACAGCAAAAGGCACCACGATAGTTTTGTGTTCTATTTTTAAGTAGTCAAAAATTGGCCCACTTTTCTTTTTTACTTTATTGTTTGTTTTCTTTTCTTCTTCTTTTTTTTTTTTAATCTTTTTTTTTTTTCTTGGAAGCTGTAAATCAAGACATTACATATAAATAGAGATTCCCTATAAAAAAGTCATTGTCGTTAGCTATTATAAGACAACTTTGCTAAAATGAAAATAAAACATTTTATTTGTTATATTTTTTCCCCCTCTTTTATATAAAATAAAAATATTTATTTTTTTGTTTGTTTTTGTGTTTGTTTTTCTGTTTGTTTGTTTTTGTTCCATTTTGTTTGTGTTTGTGTTTTTGTTTTTGTTTTGTCTCGCCTCCCTCCTCCGGCCTCCTCCATGCGGTTGTGTCTGTGGGTGCGACGAGTCTGGGAGGTGCCTAGAGAGGGTCGGGGTCCGGTTTGGGCGCCACGTGTGCCAGGCTGCTGCGCCCGCTCTCCCCGTGGGCGCTGTGTCTGCTGCAGGAATAGTGAGTCCGGCTGTCGCCCGGCCGGTGCAGCGGCGGCGACTCTGTGTGCGCCGCCTCATTGTTCTGAGTGCTTAGGAACGGGGTGCTCTCGGCCACCAGCTCCTCGTCAGACTCGCTGTAAGAGGCGCTGCTCAAGGAGAAGGAGTCCCGGACGGCTCTGGCTCTGTGAGGGATGTGCCCGTTCAGTTTGGATTTTTTCCACCGCCTGTTGCTGCTGGCTGTTTTCTTTGGCTGCTCTAGCGCTGTGACGTACTCCTGCGTCGTCTCGTACTCGTCGTCCTCTGTGATGCGGAAGGGGCTGGAAGGAAGGCTCCCCATGCTGTCGTTTAGGTAGGTCTTCCTTTGGTAGTAGCTGTCGTACCTCTGCGTGTCCTGGAAGGGGAGCTGGTAGCGCCGCAGGAGGGGTTGCTGTTCCTCCACACGGAAGCTGATGGGAGCCGCCGGCGGCAGGGACACGGCGTGCGCCGAGTTGGGGGAGGTGATCTCGAAGGTGGGCACCTGCGTGGTCATCGAGTAGTGGAAGTCAACAGGCGACAGGCGTGCTGGGGTGGTCAGGGCCGACACGTACCTGAAAAAAGAACACCTCTGTTTGGACACACCGAAAAAACCCAAAACCCATCAGCTTTGCCAAACACCTGGCCCGGGGACCCATGAGGCCTCCGGTGCACCCACTCCTGGAGCTCCATAACTCCTGGGGAACCAGGCGGAGGGAGCTTGCACTGCTGGGCCAAGGGAGGGTGAGCTGCTGCTTTTAGTGGGCACTAGGGCACCGTGCACTGTGCATCCCCAGGCTGCCCCTCCAGAGGGACTTGGCGTGCAATTCCCTCCCTGCATCGCTGAGTCAAGGCTTCACTGCCTCTCATCTGCCTGCCTTCTGTTCCCTCTGGAGCTGCCAGGCTTCTCTCCAAGCAAGATCCCCAAATTCCCTCCCCCTGCTCAGGCCACAGATGGGGAAAGCCTGGGCATTGTTTACTCTGACTTAGCATAAATCTTATGTCTCAAAAATGCACCTACCACTGTCCTCTACTTTAGTGACAGTGTCAGTGTGGCCATGCATGTCTAGCCTAGCTCCTCTCCAAACAGTCCTTCCTTTGGCATCACCTCTTTCTAAGGAGCAGATTTCACTTCTTCTCAATAGTCCCAGTGTTGTCTCTGCCCAATTCCATCTGCCCAGGCTCTCTGGCTAGTCCAGTATCTTTTTACCCACGTGTTTTGTGAAGTATGAGATCTCTGTATGAGCTGGGTCAACCTGAATGGACCAGGGATAGGAATGAGAGAGCAGGAGACACTGCCTTTCTTCTCTGCCCCATGGACAAGTCCCACTGCCTTGAAGGGTAACTGCCCATGTGGCCACCCAGCATCACCAGTGGCTACCTGCAAAGGGCTGGAGCAAGGGTGGAGATGTGCTTCTGCACCATGAGGAACCAAACCAGAGGAAAGACAACTGTTACTGCTGTTGATGGTATCTCAGCTCTGCAGTTGTGCTCCTTGGAAGGCTGGGTCACACCGAGCCCTATCCCACAGCTGTGCCCACATACAGCACCCTGCTCACCAGGGCATCCAGGACAATGCTGAAGAAACAAACCTTTTCCCCATGTACCTGAGGGCCAGACCCTGCTCGAGCTGCCAGCCCACCAAGCTGCCTGGGGTGCACTCTTGAGCCACTTTTTCTTTACCAGTTGCTGACTGCAGCCAGGTATTTTACACCCCTGTCATCCCTGTGCTCCAAATCTACATTGCCACCAGGTGAGCAGGATGCAGTACTGGCTGCTCCCCTACCAGAGTGGCCTCCAGTGGTAGTGTCCTCCTCTGGTAGGACAGAGCTGGAGTTTCTCCAGTGCCACCATGGGACTGCTGCTCTACGGCTGGGAAAGGCAAACATGTTTGTGCTGTGCACAGAGGGCACAGCTCTACCCCGCTGTGCTGCTGTGGCACCAAGCAGTGGGGTCTGACCTCTCGCTGTGGGGTGAGTCCCGCAGGGAATCCACCGAGTCCCGGTACTGCGTCGTGGGCCTCCGCGAGTCCTCGATGCAGAAGGTGGCCCCGCGGCGAGCCCGCGCCTCCACACACGCGGGGCTGTTGCATTTGCTGGTTCCCACCGAGGACAGCATTATCCCAGACTGGGAATCTGAAGTCAGACTTTCCGTTCGCTCCAAGCTCCAGGTGTGGCTTTCGTGTCTGTGGACCAAACCCCGAGTGGACAGTGAGCAAGGAATCCCCATCGAGCTCTTCTCCAAAGAGCACTGCTCATACTCGGCTCTGCACCTCTGCACTGGCGTCCCCTTTCTCTCTCTCACTAGGATATGTCTGGCCAGGGATGCCCAGCTTCCCAACCCTACCTTTGATTTGCCTTTCTTTGCTACTTCTTGGAGATATCATTAGAGGACAAAGAAAGCAAACCAGTGCATAGAAGACATTTATCCCACCGGTGAATAAATGGCCGTGACGGGACAGCCTCTGGAGGGAGGCCAGTGCAATCCTGATTTGTGCTTGCAAACCATTCTGGGTGTGGAGCAACACATTGGCCATGCCAAGGCAAGTCAGCCAAGTTTCTTCAAATGTGCCACCAGCACTGCCAAGTGACAGCCCCTTTGGAACTGCTACCAGAGAGGAGCCAGGAGAAGCCACTCAAAATTAGCAGAGCAAAGTGTACCGAAGAGAGATCCGGATGTTCAGTTTCCACTGGTTTATAAAAGATTTTGGCAGCAAAACACTTTCAAGGTGCTAGACAAAAGCTATGATGTGCTGGATAGACCTTGCTGAGCGCTCAGTGCCTCACCTGTCCTGGTCTGAGGGGAAACAGGACATCCCACAAGGACTCACTGGGGTCACACGGGGCCACCTGCACACTGGGGTCCCACCCACACCACGACCACCACACTGACACCCTCCATGGCAGAAATACACCACCTCTGAACTCCCAAACTGCACCAGATGGAGCTGTGCCGGTGGAGGATTTGGGGTGGGGGTTTGCAGTGGAGAGCAGGCCTCATTAAGACTTCCCAAGAACTTGTTAATTATTGATGGCTCCAGGCACATGCTCGTTTATAACTTCAAACAGCGTCCTCATTAGAGGCACTGATTGAGTAAAATGGAGCCTGATTATGCCAGTAGTTTGCCTCTGGCATGACTTCAAGAAGCACCTGCTTGCTGCACTTGACTCAGGAAAATTAAGTGGCAGGTAGCCAGGGCCAGAGGCTACGCAAGGTAAGTTCCTCCCCACAGCTGCCATGTGCTAATGCTGCCCTCCAGGCACACCTTTGCTCTTCAGGAGCTGCCCAGGGACGGCCCAAGACTTTGGAGCGAGCATGGAAGGCCAGCAAAGTGCAGCTCTGCCAGCACAGGAGCCTCTGCACACCTGGCTCAAGCTTGCACACACCTATCCAGGGCTGGGCTGCAGAGTACAAATTCAAAAAACCTGGAAAACACACCGTCTAGCTCACGAGGGGTGGGATTTCCCTGGAAAAATCAGTCATTTTCAGCCCATCAAGTCATTCTTGGCTCCCTCTCTGCTTGCTGGAGGTCTAGCCAAAGGAATCTGGAAGGGATTCACCTGAAAACCCAAGTTCAGTATCAGAAGTTGATCTTGAGTACTTGCTCAACCCCGATGAATGCCTGAACCCTGAGGAAACCTGCTGGGAGCCACCTATGAGCTTTAGCTGAAAGAATCTTAGGATTCCTGGATGAATGGAGACAAACCCATCAGGGTAATGAAGTACATGAGCCAGTCACGTATCAAAGGCAAGGGATCTCCACGGAAAACACCCGTCACTTACTGGAAGAAGCACAAGAGCTGAGTAAGAGGAAGAAGTGGAGCATCCAAACTCAAAACAGCATGGGACTCTCCTTAGGGCATTAGAAAGACTTTTCTTAACATCATAAAAATAGGGGAGTCTATTTGCAATTTAAATGCTCTCGAAAACCATGAGAACTTCAGCTTCCAAGACATGCAGCTCTTCCTCTGACAGTTATTTTGAAATTAAAACAAAAAATACGTCTCATCCTGCGCCACAAGAAATATTGGCACTTTCCTGCTAGACCCAGTTTTCCTGAAAGCCTCAGAAAGACTTTCAGTGAGGGAGGTGCCACCACCTCAAAGGCTGAGATTCTAACACAACTCTCTGGACTGTGATAAATTGTGCAGGAGTAGGGTTTCTTGGTGAAAACTTGTGAGTTCCAAGGCAGATCCTGACTCTGAGGAACTGACCAAAACATTTTGTGATATTTTGTATGCTTTGTCTTCCACACAGCAAATACAATCTAAATATGAAACAGATAGCCTGTGTGTGCTTCATGAATTATTTCAGATGTCCAGTGTGCTGCAAACACAACTTGCAAAGCCTTTCCTACATAAATCCTCCCATTTGGGTCTGTGCAAAAAGCATGGAAGCACAGCTTGGTTTCCTCCTGTTTCCCAGCAATGTCAGGGCTGCAGGTTCCTGCTGGCACCTCCCTGTAGGTCAAGGATCCCACTTTTCCACACCTCCCACTATCTAGCTGTGCCTGCAAAGACCTGCAGTGGAGACATGGCCCACATGGCAGTGCAGAGCCAAACATCAAATGAAAACAGAAAGCGAGGTGAAAGGAAAACCTTTTGAATCTCACAGCATCCTAAGGCAAACAGCAGGAGAAAGTTCAGGGGAAAATGGTACACATCACCTCTGGCTGGACGTTGGAGTGGCTGTGGAGCAGTGATGAGATGGGGAGCAGGAATGACTGCCCGAAAAGGTTGTCTCTGTTTCCCTTCGGATCACGTGCTCGGTGGCTGAAACATTCTTAGAAATATACTGTAAAACATGAAGAACCACAAAGATCAGCCATCAGTCTTTGAATGCTGCCACAGAGAAATTCAGCTGGTTTGAGTATTTCTGGTGAAATCAGGTGAGGACTGGGTGAGCCCAGAAGCTCCACAACCTACAGGAAAAGACAAGGAGAGTGGAGGCTCTTCTCTGCCCCTTCACTTTGAACACTGGAAAAGGGCCGTGGCACAGGGACTGCAGAAGGGTATGGAGAGACAAGGGGCTCCCCAGGGGACAGTGGTACCGTGTGTAGCTACTGAGCAGAGACACGTGTCTGCCACAGGAGGTTACACCAGCAAAAAGAGAAGGACGTGAAATCTGTCAGAGATTCGAGTCCTACAGAAACACCCCGTGTGATCCAAATATTTGTGCTGAGATATTCCTTCATCTGTCAACCAGCACTGCTTCTCACAGCCACACTAAGCTCTCTGCAGGAGGCAGTACTTTGGGGCTAGGGAACTGTGGTTCTTAGGATTCCCTTTCCCCCTTCCTTCATGGCTGAGATTCACCCCAGCCAGATTTTACCATCCAAAGGGTGACCCAGCAGAGCTCATACCTGATTCAATGGACTCATTTCCCTCAGTCCTTCTTGTTTGGCTCCACCTCCTCCTCCCCTTTTTCTGACCCCTTCCAAGGCCTTGGTCCAGCAAGGCACTTAAACCCATTGAGTTTAGGGGTTTGACTGAAGTCACAAGAGTGGCTGAACTCCCTTTCTGGATCCAGTCCTGAAGGCTTAAATCATTCTCACTGGTCTGACACTGGCACCCCATCAGGACATCCCACTTTGCCTAGGACACAACTCCTGGCAAGGGCATGTGGACTGATGGAGTGCTGACCAGATGACCATGACATGCTTCAGCACAACGTGGTCACCACGTCAGCTCTGGTCACTGCCCCGCTGATCCCATTTGTCATCCCGCAAAGTGGGACTTGACAGGATAGCTTAATAAACAGGAAACTTTGGGAACATCTCTCTTAGTGGAAATCAGGGTCACACTTGATTCATCAAAACAAACCTGTCCCAAGTGCCTGAATCTCATCCCATACTTCAAAGTAAAATCACATTTCCCTTCAGATGTTGGTTTTGGAAATGTTTTTATGCGGAATCTCATCTCTTTGCTCAAGTTTGTTAGTGTTTTGTTCCTCGTGGGCTTGCACACAGATGTGTAAGCACACACACCCACGCCAAATCCCTGGTGGAAAACAGCCTGCAGGGAGATGGAGACAAAGGGTCTTACATCAGCCATCTGGATTTCCTCGGGATCCAACCGTGGATGGCTCGGCCCGTTTGCAAGGCTCCGGTTCTGATGGGCAGGGCACATGTTCTGCCGTAAGTGATTATGCATTTGTTTCCTTTGTTTCCTTTAAAACAGAAGAGAGAAAAAAAAATCTATTAGGAAGACTTCTCTCGTGGGGCTCTCTGCCCCCAGAGACAGCAGAGGAGGCAAGTCTTGGGCACATGGATATTTCCATGGTGTTTGTGGAAAGTTGCAAACAGGAAGGAACAAGGCATTCAACACTTAACACGTTCTGCTGCTTTTCCTAACAAAAGATGAACTTTTGTTATCATAGACAATTTGGGAAGCTGGGTCCAGAGTCCCTTTTTCAAGACAAGGTCTACCCCAATGCAGCAGAGGCAGGGACACTACGGTGCTGGGGAGGAGGAGAAAGGCGAGGAGAAGGAAAAGGGGGAACAAGTCCTGGCTTGGCCTTGGTGGAAAGGCACTTGAGCTGTCCTGCATGAAGGACAAAGTGGCAAAGCCTTCCCACGCCTGTGGCAGGACACCATGTCCCAGGGACACCCTGAACTGAGATGAGGTGCAGGCTAAGTAGGGAGAAAGGTGCTGTCCAGGTAGGAAAGGTTGGCCATAAAAGAAGTTACCAAGCCTCTTGTTAAATCAAGATTGCTGCAAAAGTCCCTGGAATGTACGCAGCTGAGCCCACAACTCCTGCACAACAGCCCAGTGTGCTTCTGCTGCCAGAAGGTGAGCCACTGGCTTGGGACCAGCTTTTCCCAGTGACACAGCATCACCTGGCTGTTTCAGATGCTGTTTCAGAGGATAAGCAGATGGTCCCAGGAAAGCATTCTGTTCAGGCACAGCCTGGGAAATAGTTTCACTGGCCTCCTGCATGAGACCTTCCTGGGAACACCACAGCAGATATCTCCTTAAAATAGCATTTGGGTGAAAAGCAGGAGAGTGTGAAGCATGAACGCTGCCACTCACTAACCTCTGGCCAGTTCTTGTCTGCCAGCCACCCATACTCACTTGGTTTTACAGTAAGCTACCACACAGACGATGCCCACCACAAGCAAGGCAACACAGATTCCCGTGATGGTTAAAACTCTCTTCTGGTAGAGCTCTTCTGCTTCTGTAAATGGAGAGAAAGGATCCAGTTACAAACAGGTTCCAGCACCAGGGGTGCCTCTGGCTGCACAGGAACCAGCACTGCGTGTGGGTAAGACAGAGGACAGGGCTCGGGCACACCTCCTGCCAATCCACTGCCCATCTAAGAGCTGCCCCAAACCTGAGCCCAGCTGGCCCAACCTTACTCACCCCTCACAAGACCTTCACTCCTTTTGTCTCCCTGCACCTTGGCCCTCTCTCACTCCGTAGCTTACCCCTTCTGCACTCTCACTTCTCACTTGCCCTTCTTCTCCCACAGTGACTAATCTCAAGAAGCTCCACAACTCTACTCTCCCTTCCAGCAGTTCCCCCCTTTGTGGTGCCTTAGTCACCTGCCAAGGAAGCCCCCGAGCACCCCCCACTCACCACGAGCACACGTGCCCTGTGATGCCCTGATCACAGGCTCTGCTCTGACGGGCTCAGAATGCCTTTGCCTTGCAGCTGCTGCATGCCCTGGAGCTCGGTGGTGTCCTAGAACCACTGAGCAACAGGCCCCAAAGCATGTAGGTGCTGAAAGGGACATCCTAGAACAGTCAAAAAGCAGCATGAGGATGGAAAAGTGACAGCGCGTTCGACAAAGAAAAGGGAGTGGACTAATTAAAATACAGTAACCAGTGATGGAATTTTAATGGAACCCTAGGAAGCGATTCATTCCATTGCACCAGGTAGCTCAGAGGCACACACAAAATACAAGCAGCTTGCTGCTGCTTCTCTCAAATGTCACCCTGTGTCATGGACCACCTTTCAAACCAGAAAAGTCACTTGCGTCAAAAGCCAGACCGTGCTGGAAGTGAGGTAATTCATCCCCATCAATCAAAGCTCCCAGGAAATGCTGGGATATCACTTGGAGCATAACTGAGCTACATCTAGGCATTAATCCCATGGAAAGGACACCTCTTCCTCCATGGCTACACCAGAGCAGACGCTCTTCTCGGTGGCATCCAGCACTTTGGTTCTCCAGCTGGATGACTGGAGAAGGATTCAGTGCACAGCTGCCACGGGTGTTTCAGTTCAGCATCTGTGAAGGATGTCCTCATACCCCCACACTATGTGTTAATGTTCAAGTTATTGGGGTTTGTGCCTTCTTTAATATTCATTGAAATGTTTATTTCATACAGATTAGTCAGTAAGAGTCATGCCATGGTTGCTGTGCTTCTCCACACGGCTCAAAATACCTTGCATGGATTTTATGAAATCCCCTGTGCTACCAAACAATCAAATACAAAACCAGGAGAAAAACAGGTCCAGGTCTGGGACCAGATTTTAGCAAAAAAATTGAGGGGGAAGCAATGAAACCTCCCAGGTAACTGAATATTTAGAACAATTTCAACCTGCCATGTTAGGAAGGAAAAAGCATTTTTGGAAGAAAAAAAAAAGGCATTAGGAAAAATGTTTGCCTCTTTATAAGTCTCAAAATGAGAGTGAAGAAAGTTTTGGTGAACAAGGGCTGAGAATGACAGCCCTGGTACAAAGATGCAAAACAGAGCTTGCTTGTGGTTATTTTCCCTATAATGAACCAGGTGGAACTGGAATGGGGAAAGGATCCTCTCTGGGGTGAAACACCGCCTTCAGTGACATGCTTCCCTTGTATGGGTGCCCTATTCCAGGCATCAGCAACCATGGCAGACAAGTTTTCTTGCTCTTGCACACCTCTGGGACTGGGATTCTACCAGTACAGCTCTTTCCTTCAGACAGGAATTTCAGAGATTTTGTATGAATTAGGAAAACCAGGTAGGATCACGTCCTGGTTACGGATGGCACTGGGCAAGAATTTTGCTACTGCCCTGCAGAAACTGCTTTAACAGAAAAAAGAGGCTGGAGGTCTGTTTTGACCGTGGACTCATCCATCAAGCCAATTATTTCAAAGATTCTTCACCAGCAATATTTTTTGCTACAATGACTTTTTTCCTAAGCATAAATCATTACCTTTGAACCATGGAGGAGAAATAAAGAGCAAAGTAATCAACACTATGGTTTCTTGTGTTTCTGTTGGGTTTTTTGGTTGGTTGGTTGTTTTTTTTTTTACCTATTACATGACAAAATTCTTCACCCAAGGTTCAAATCCCAGTCTCTGTTCTGGTGATCCTGTCAATATGGGACCCTGACTCTGACATGTCTGACTGCACTGAACCTTCACCTGAATTGCACAGGGAATGTTTCAGTTCATCAGAAATGCAGATTTAGCCTCTCTGTCTTGAGCTGACAGCTCTGCTGCGTGAAGCAGTGAAGTGTGAGGCTGTGCATCACTGCTGCAAACTAAAAATTGAATGACCTGCTGATAGTAATTCAGCTTGGCTCCCAACATCTCATTAAAGCTGATGCTCCATAACAGCACCTTCATGTTGCCCAAAACCGTCTCGACAGCAACAGAAAGAAAATAAGAGAGTGCACACTACAGTTCTGTATTTGAGCAGGTAAGATCCTGGAGCAGGACTTGTCCATTTGTGTCTCTATGCTCTACAAACACCACGTCTTCATCAGCAGCATCGTCACTCTACAGCAGCAAACACTATGAACAAACCATGTGGTGCCACACAATGCCGACAGAATCACAGTCCAGCCATGGTGCCACAGCAAGGCATGACAGTGACAGACGAATGACAGAGAAGAGACGACTGCAGACTGGGAACAGGATGTGTGCGGTTCTGTGATGACATCGAGAATGGGTGAGGAAAAGGACAAGAGGTCAACAAAAAAGGGATGTCAAAAATCCTCGATTTTAAAGTTGATTTAAGTGTATTAGCGTTAGCAGCACCGCTTTCTCTGAGGCACCTGACCATAAAATTCACACGTTTTCTGCAGTGGGGGGGAACTGTCACCAGTCCTGGGGGATCAGGCATGCAAAAACTAGAGGAGATAAGCATCTCCAGCTTCAGCTAGTGCATGTCCCTCCACCTCAGGGGCCTGAGAGGGCAATTTAGGATCAAGAAGTGAAAGACTGGTGTCCCCATATCTCCAGCAAATGGAATGGAAGCAACTTCATATGAAGATCTGCTCTGGCTGACACTGTTGGGTCAATGATTTTAAGTTAAGTGATAAATCATCACAGAATTATAGAACGGTTTAGGTTGGAAGGGACCTTAAAGCTCATCTCATTCCAACCCCCGGGGCACCTTCCACCAGACCAGGTTGCCCAATTTCTCTACTCTCATCTGACCAGCCCTCCCTGCTCTTGGCTTGTACACTCCAGGGAAACCTCACCTCAAGGATTTGATTTCCCAACTGCTTACTCAAAAGATAACTTGATTTATTTCTAAAAAAAGACTGAGGAGAATGGAAGGAAAATAATATGATTATGAGCAGCTGAGCAGGAGTGGGTAAATGCCCAAAGGGGATATTTTTAAGTCATTTAACTTTCTGCAGTGTTTTTCCAAGCTTGCCACCTTGGTGCTCAGCATTACACCCTCCACTCTCATGGGGAGCTAATGACTTCCCTGGGATCTAATTTTCTAGACTAACTCATCTCATGCCATCTTTTTTGGAACAATTTCCTCCCAGTCAAGAACTAAAAATGAGCCACTAAACTTTGGGAGGAGGAATGGCAAAGCTCATCCTGACCCTTCATAGGATCCAGTGGAGGTTATTGCTTGTGGAATGGCAATTTCTATAGGAGCCTTGATCTTCCTAAAATTTGCCTTCCCGTCCCTGGAATGTCTGCCCCTGCTGGCAACTTTTTGGATGGGCACAAACTCCTGCTTTTCAGTTAAATACACAAAAGCGTGTTGAATGGAGATGTATGGCAATTGTAACATCCCAGTCACGCCACACACACCAGGCTGCTGCTTGGAACAAAGAAAAAAGTGCTGCTAAAAATAAATACACGTGCTTTTTTATAGGTTTACATTTAGAATTTGTGATTTGCTTTGTTTTTGGTTTTGTTTTGCTTTTTTTTTTTTTTTTCCCAATCCAAACATCTATGTTGGTGCCAGGGAAGTGAACAGAACAGTTGATTTTTTAATCATCCCATTAAAGCCATAAATATAATGTGGGAAGCTCTTAATGGCTTCTGATTAATAAATGAATGGTTGTTCCATACCCTTTAATTCAAATCCAAGATGCTCTGCCAATGCAGAAAGAAGACAAGGAAGAGAAAGAGAAAAAGAAAAACAGGTCTGTCAGAGAACTCTAAAATACAAACACACACACCGTGCAGTTACAGCAGGTTAGCTTTTGGTAGGCTCAGCAGCAGTCACACAGACACTGTATGCTTCAGAGCATTTCAAATCCCCACCATGTTATGCAAAGGAAGACCCAAACAAATTGCAGTGGAAGTTCATTATGAATTCTTTCAGTTAATTATGAATTCTTTTGAGATGAGCCATGTTTGTTAGTACCTGATATGGAATTCACAGTTTAGGCAGGGGGAAGAAAAAAGAAAAAAAAGGAAAGGTACACTTGTTCTGAAACAAATCCTGACAGGTCAAAACACATAGAGACTGTAGGAACCTGGGAAAACCCATTCCTTCCCTCTCTACAGGCCAGATCTGCCCTGCACGGGTTCCCACGCCCCTCTGTGCCCGGGGGCTGAGCACCAAAGGGACACAGATGTGTGGGGGTGTGCCCGGGGCCCCGAGGCTTTGCCAGCCCCATTCTGCTGCCCACTCTGGTCTGGGGTGCACAGTGGCAGCGGGCACAGGGCCTGCCCATCTCCTGGTGGTGTGTCAGTGGTGCCAGCACCGCTCTGGGCAGCTCGGGGCTGCCTCCAACCGCCGGCGCTGCCAGGGACGAGCTGCCCGGGCAAGGCAACGAGTCCCTCGCAGGTCTGAAAGTGCAAATTGCACTGCACGTTTCCCTGAAGCCTGTGGTCTTCCCAATTTCACTTCTGCTGTGGCTCTGCGTTGTTTTAGAAACACAAGCACGCTGCAAAAAAGCCCAGATTGCTGCATCTGCTTTCAGATTAACGTTGGTAACAAGTGCGAGATTGCAGTTCGTCTTGCAGGGGCAGTGCCAAGAACAGGATTTTACCCCAAAAAATCAACAACACAGTTATCCAAAACAGGTATCCTGAATTTTAGTCATTTTCCTGGTACAGACCTCTCCTAAAGACAGTTTTTCTTACACAAACATTAAAGTTCTCCATACTTACCGCTGTACACAAAAGTGAGCTCTGCTGCTCCCAAGTACCAAACACACAAGATTATTTGCAGCTTGGAGATGTCCAGATTTAGTTACTATGTTTTCCATAGGAACTGCTTTGTGCTGCACAGAAATACTGGCTTTCTTTTGCAATGCTGTTCAAAATTTAGGTGGGGGGGGAATTAGCACTAATCATTATGGACATGTAAACACGTGTTCTAAAGCAGGTTCTTCTCTTCAAATCAATGCTGATGTTTGTTTTTTTTTTTTAGGGGGGTGGGAGTTGGGTGGGTTTTTAAAATTTTGTATAATTTAAAGGCCACAAAACCTGGCTGCTCTCTGTTTCACATCTCACATGTAGAAAAACTATAAAAAACTCCAAAACCAACCCTCTACAGTGCATTTCACAGACATTTAGTGCAAGCTGCAGTGACATGGACATAATGTGGTGGGCAGCAGAGAACTGGACAGAATATATTCGTCCTAAACCTCTTGGTTATCACATCCAGCCCTGACCCATTCCTGAGTAATTCTATCATTGCACACACTGTTTCCCCTGACACTGACAAATGCACGTAGAGATACATCAAATTTCAGCCATAAATCTAAGCTGATGGTCCATCTGATAGCTGCATACTGCCTATCCTGCCACATTTCCTCCCTGTTCCAGGATTTGATGCAACATCTGCAGATACAAATGGATGCAATTCAAAACATTTTCACGATTTTTTTGCCTGTGCAAACGGAGATGGTGGGCAGGACCTGAGGAGCTTGAGCCTTCCCACTGTCCCTCTCACAACACAAATGTCTTTCTTTTGGCTCCCCAACCTCAGGCACAGCTGAGATCCCTGGATCTCAGCTACAGGCTCCCTGAGCAGGAGAAAAGCCATGCAACCACACAGCAGCTGGAGTGTACCTGCCTCCCTGTGCCTACAAATCCACCAGCAGCTCTGCAGGTGGAGGAAGCCTTTCCCCAGCCTGTGCTCCTGTATCTGATTCCATGGCTACTCAACCCTTCTCCAGCATCACTTCAGGACACAGACATTGCTTCTCTATCACCCATAACTGAACACATCAAACAGGGAGTCACTCTCCCCCTCCCATCTCTCAGAGTTCCTCCCAGCATGGGCAGGTATTGCCTTCCCTGCTGGGATGGTGAAGGAGGAGACACCTCAAGAGCAGGCTGGGATTTGGAGGGTTTATGTTCTCTAAAGAAGAGACTGTTCAAAATAATTCAGCACTTTGCAATCCAGACAGAGGCTAATGAGGTGGACCCAGCTCTGCATTCAGCAGAGGGGCATCATCTTCACAAATGTGGTTTACCACATAGTGTGTGCTGATTTCATATCAACAGCGTTCCAAATGGCACCAAACATGTTTGAGAAAACAAAATTTCTCCTGGAGACAACAATTTGTTTTGGATTGGAGCAAAAAAACTTTTCCTGACTGTGCACCATGGGTGAAAGAAGTCTCTTTTACTGTTCTAAGATGTTTATCAGGAAGAGCAATATATCTTTAAAATCTTAGGGTAATATTTTCTGCTAGGTGGAGAAGATGCTCAGCATGATCATATAGTCATGAAATCACCTGAGTTGGAAGGGGCCTTAAAAATCATCTCATTCCAACCCCCTGCCATGGGCAGGGACAACTTCCACTATCCCAGGTTGCTCCAAGCCCTGTCCACCCTGGCCTTGGGCACTTCCAGGGATGGGGCAGCCACAGCTTCTCTGGGCAACCTGTCTCACTCTCAGCCAGGGTTTCACCACCCTCACAGGGAAGAATTTCTTCCCAGTATCCCATCTAATCCTGCCCTTTGTCAGTTTGAAGCCCCCTTGTCCTGTCACTCCAGGCCCTTGTAAATCGTCTCTCTCCATCTTTCTTGCAGGCTCCTTTCAGGTCCTGGAAGGTCACCCCAAAGCTTCTCTTCTCCAGACTGAGCAATCCCAATTCTCTCAGCCTTCCCTCATAGCAGAGCTGGTCCATCCCTCTGATCATCTTGGTGGCCTCCTCTGGACTTGCTCTGACAGATCTGTTCAGGGGTGCCCAGAAAACTTTGGGCAACAGTCCCCTCTGCAGCCCTTAACCCCACAGCAGGAAGCAGGAGGTCCAGGCAGGTCCTCCAGCTCCTCCAGACAGGGATTCCCCCCACACAGTGGGGAGGTGTATTGCACCCTAGGCCCGTGGCAGAGGGAGCATTTGGGATGGCTAAAATGAAATGGATGAATCCCAGCAGCAGAGACAAACTGACAATGCTGTTTCTCACCATCAGACAAAAGGCAAAGTCCTACATTTACCTCACCTGCAGTGACTTTGTGACTAAGGTTTTGTCTATGACGTATTTTACTTATTTTAAAAGATGGACAGATGAAAACATTTAATCTAAAATATTCTTGTGGGAGTAACGCCGCAAGTAAGATGATTCTCACTGATCTGTAGATTTGTAGGATGATTAGGAAGGATAAAATCCTCAGCAAACAGCTGTGAAAAGTGGGCCTGTGCTCACTTGGACTTCAGGTTGTCCAAGAACGTTGATAAGATGTTTAGTTACTATGCATTATTCCCCCCAAACACACTCTCTGGAACACAGAGCATGCTCCAAGGCATGAAACAAAGTGGAGAATTGACTTCTGAGAGCTGGCAAGAAAATAAATTGATAATAATTTTACTGATAATCAGTTGTACTGACAAGAGTAGCATTTGCAGGACCCTGATCCAGGTTTCTCCCAGTGGGTACAGGGAGCAATGCAAGACAGTGGGACAAGATGGGGACAGAGGATGCTGTGCCTGTGTTAAGAACTGGGTAATACATGGAATCTTCAAGTAAAGAAAGTCTGTAAACTTTCCCTAAACTCCACAGGCATTTAGCTTGTCCAGTACTGTAACAATAAAAATCATTTGGTTGGCCTCAAAAATCCAGATACACAACAACAGGGTATTTAAAATCTTCTGTGGATGGGCATGCAATTAACTTTAGGAGATCCCAAAGGGTAACCTGTACTGCTTCCAGGGGAGAGGAATCACCCCACTATGAAAAACCACAAACACTCTGTAATTACCCAGCCACACCAAAGCAGAGCCATCACCCTGTAATTCAGTGGTCAGCAGTTATCATGTCACTGAAAGGAAGGTGCAGAATGTCTGTGGAATTTAAAGTGCTGCTAAATATTGGTTTGGGGTTCAGATGAGTAAGAGGTGGAGGAGGAAGCAAGAAGGTAGGTAAAATAAAGTATTCTTTTGCTTATTGCAATGACAGCAGGTAGAAAACTACTACTGAAAAAAAGAAAGTGAACAGAGAAGCTAAAATTCAGATCAAGACCTTCCCAGAAGAGCTTGAAGTGGTTCATTTATCCCTCTGCTCATGAGGACACTTTACCTCAGTATCAGGAGCAAGGTTTCCAAACCCCACCCACCAGAAGGGTCACTTCTCCATGTCAGGGTGATGACCAACACTCCTCTGGCTGCAGCCAGTGACTTCTGAGTGCAAGGGACCATCCTTCAGAGAGACAAGAAGCCTCTCACCCAGTAAAACCTACACTGCTCCACTTCCATGGTAGTTTAGCCAGAAGCAATGGAGCCAGTTGTGGGAACAGGTTGGAAAGAAAGCTGCTCTGCCAATGGATACCTGGAAATCCTGCTCTGTGTTTCCAAGCAGACCAGTAGGAAAACTCCAACTATGAATAAAAAATCAATTTATAAAGAAACCACGATTAAATATGGGGTAAAAATGAAGAATAGGCTAGATGACATGGTATATGACTGTCAGCTCTATTCTAGGGTGACTACATACTGCAACTTTAATTGGGTCACAAAGTAGAAAATGAAAATGTTTCACTAACCAAGATGATGAATGCTATGACATTTGTTCTCCAGATTGGTGATGATTATTTGGGGACATGAATAAACAGCAAAGTTAAGATGAAGTTTGGGTTTCCACAGACAAGAGGCAAGCATAAATATAAAACTTTACCCCAAATTTCTAACTTGTTCCATAAATCATAAATGGAAAGAATCCAAATGTACAGACTTAGGAAATGTATAAATGTTCCTGCTGAGCACGTTTAACTTTCAGTATCTCAGCCCCACCAGGAGTGAAATAGCTGCCAATGTGTTTCATGAAACCTTTACAACCAGCCAGCCCAAAGCCTGGCAATTTATTAGTAAAATTCCAGGAGGGTTTTACAGAGACCTGAAAAGCTGCTTGTAGAAGAGAGAATATAGAGCTAGATCTTGATCTGATGTAAAACAGGCAGCTATGGAATACAAGGTGCCAGCACAAGCTTTAAAAAAAAAAGTTTCTTAGAAGGAAGGATGAATTTGGACAGGCTTGTGCCTTCTGGGGAGAGCTGCAAGCCATGGCTGTGCCTATGAAGGAGACAGCTGTCCACTGGGTGAGTCTCCAGCACCCACTAGAAGCTCACAGAAGAAATTCCTGATTCTTTTGGATATTGCTAAACCTTTCACCCAGGTGTGCCAGCAGAGAGGAAAATCTGGCTGCAGAGGCTTAATGGCCCATGGGTACCTGTGCTATGGATTCATTCTGGCTGTGGATCAAGAATTTGATGTGTTCTGTTCTCACTAATGCATGGGCAGCCAGACAGAGACACCTGTGACCCTGCAGGTACCTGTAGCACAGTACCAGGAGTCACCTAACAGCTACACCCATGAGTTTGTCTGTGGAGACAAATAGAAATTTGAAGACCTTGATGTGAAAAGCATATTAGCAAGAGGATTTAATGACTCATCACCATGGAAATAATTCTCTCTCTTCTCACCTACCAGGTCATTCCTCTCTTTTGTGTAGAAATTGCAGACAATCACTGTTCTCTCAGTTCAATGCCATTAATTCTCCTTCAGTTAAAATTACAATTGCTACTACAATTAAATGTTGATTTAATGTCCCTCAGTTATATTGTGCAGCCTCTATAAGGCTCTCTTCTCACAGGTTAGTTAAAACCTAAACAACATGATCTCCTAACCCTGATCCATCAACCAATTCCTTATGTGTGGGTGGAGGAGCGTGCACAGAGACCCGCTGAGATCAGTGACATTTCATACTGACAAAAGGCATCTAGACAGGCTTAAGTCAGCACATCCTAAGTCAGGATATCTTTTTCTTCTCAGATATGTATCTTCCAACTATTTTAATCGGAGTGAGTGAGCAGTTGTTTGCTCTGACATCTCCCCTTCCTTCTGCTGGTAGGTTTTCTGTTTCGATGACTCTGGGAAAGCCATTTGTCCCCACTGCCCTGCAGCTGACCTATGATAAACAGGACGCAGCTTCAGGTTTCCCTGGATGTGGGGTTGCTGTGCCTCAGCATCTCATGGCCCTCATCTGCTTTGGGTTATTGTCCATCACTGGTGGCAGCTCAACCCTCGCCACTGCGGCACAGAAAAGCCACACTGCCTCAGACCTCCTTGCAGTGTGAGCCTTGCTCAAAAACAGACCATCAGGGTGGCTCAGACTAACTCAGGCTCAGCCTAAAGGCAGGCTCAGAGAGCTGACACAGCCAGGTACCACAGCTCTGCCCAGAAGTGGCACCTGGCTGGGTCAGAGCTGTGGTGTCTGTTTGCACTTTGCATCCATTTTCTCAGGTAAGTGGCTGTTTTAGAATGCTTCACTTCTTTTCTGCAATATCTCAACACATTCCCAAGCTAAAATGTAAAATCATAAGCTGACGGGAACCAACTGCTGACTTGAATCACTTGCTTGAATCCTGCTGTTGCAAATTCCTACCAAAAGCAAACTCTATTCATCCAAACAAGGGCTGAGTCGGGACTGGCTGGGGGGTCTCCGAGCCCAATAATACGACTGCTAATGAGTTCCTCTGTACCAATCTGTCAGAAAACAGCAACAGTGTGAGCGTGACATGGAAAAAATCTCCCAAGTTTAACATTTCCTCTTCATTTTCAGGCAGTGGGGTATATACCCAGGAGGGCTGGCAGTGGGTACCTGTTCATAGGGTTGTAACAGTGACATAGAGAAACATCACATGCAAGAAAACCTATCTAAATACACCCAATTTTCATCTTAATGACTGCAGTGGTCTAGCAGGTGTTTTGGGCAGTCAAATCAAAACAAACCTCCAGAGCTACCTGTCAAACAGACAAAGACAGCCTGAAGTCATGAAGAACATGGGGAGTTTTACATGAGCAAAATCTGAATAAGGGTTTAAATTGGAGAGATAGGAAGCTGCTCCCAAAGGAAAGTACACAACATCTGGCATGATGCTGGGATGCTGCACCATCTCCATCTGTGGCCCAAATTCAGCAAAGTATCTGCCACACCTTTTCAGAACAGTATCTGCAATTTAACTCACTGCAAACTCTCCCTCAGCCCTGGGATACACCTACTAAAAGTCATTGAAATATTTATTATTTATATTAACGAATCAGAAGGTTCCAATCTAGGCCTGAAAACCTAAAATACCCCAAATACATTTAAAACACCAGCAATGTAGGTGTCCTTATTTACTATTTAAGTATCTGTCAAATGCTGGCAGTGTTATCAAAACATGAATCAGGACAGAGCTATTTTATTTCCAGTGGAAATGCCTGAACCTCATTTAATCTGTTTCGGCTTTTGACCTGTCAGAACCCATATGGGATGAAGCACTGAGCAAATTACAGAACAACAGCAACTTCTACTGTGCCCAAATTATTGATTAAAGTAGAAGGTAAGCATTTGCAGGGTCCACACTCGAGTGAAATGGCTTTCCTATTCAGAAAATCAGCAAGTTCGGTGCAAGATTTTCTGCAGTGCTGCCTCCACTTATATTACCTGTGACCTGAAAGTGAAAACAGCTATAAACACATATGAATCATCTTCTTACATGAATTTTATCCAAGTTCAGACAGGTAGCCTGGATTGTTAAGCTGTTTTTACCTTACTATGCTGTGGTTAAAGCAGGGTTGAGGTAGGAAATGTACACGAGTCAGTTTTAAAGCTGGCACTGTTCCTTTAACACGTGAATAAAACTAAAACAAATCTCAGCCCCATAAAAAGCTGGATTCTGCAGGCTGAGAAAAAAAAAAACCCACATAGTTTACTCCTGCAATGAATGCTCTGAAAAGGTGTTTTCCTGACATAAAACTCATTTCCCCCCCTGTTTTGGTTTTGCAGCATGGTAGCAATAATGTTTAAGCCTGTTGGACACCACCTTATGAAACATGACACAAATCAGCTCCACCAGGTGAGCATCCCACTGGTGTTTGCAGCCAGGGACCCTGATACCAAGGACTTCCAAGTGGGAAGGAAACCCTTCTGCATCACGTGAAAGATCAAACCAGAACATTTTTTTTTTTGTCATTTTAGAGAGAGCTTACTTGGATGTTGGAGCCTGGGAGGATAAATCAATGGAGGTTTCAGCTTCAGAGGCCAATTTGGAACAAAAGGGAACGTAAAAACATCGAGCTGTCCCAAGGGCCTCATGAAGTCCATTTGCATTTGTCTGTATGCTCCATGGAAGGGAGTTTAATTTGAGCACTTGCCAGCTATTAGCACGTGCTAATGAGACTCCTGCTATTGCCAGTTCAGGATGGGAACTGCAGGATTCCTCACAGAGCGGTGGGAGAGGGGTACTGGCAATCAAGAAGTTATCCTGAAGAGGCATTTCTCCTCTGGTTCCCACTAATTAAAGCCTCTTTTGTGGCTCTTTTTGAAAAACCTCTTTTTAAACCCACCACTTGTGGTGGTCCAAGTGGCCAGCACAGAGACAGGATGGGTCACAGGGAGGGTCACGGGATGGGGCACAGCCAGGATCACCGTGGCCAATCTCCTGCACTATAACTGTGCCTCCTTTCAGGTCAGTCCTTACCCAGACCAGGATCCCATTGATGCTGGGACACTGTCCGAATAGGGACCCGGAAAAATTATCCACCTTGAGCAAAATGAGCTAATGATGTCTATGAGACCTGTAGGAATGGGAAAGTAGAAATTGGGAAGCATTAAGTGCAAAGGCTCTTTACACCTGTTGAATATGTTAAGGCATTGGTCACTGCAGTGGGACACAACCCAGCATGCAGGGCTGACCAACCCCCTGGGAGAGACAGGAACATCTCCATGTCCAGGAGGGATGGAGAACTCCCTGACATGCCCAGCTGGCAGGTTTAGCCTGTGTTCTGCATGGCACTGAGGTGTGGGAAGCCCTGAGGCAGTGGCAGCCACCAGTGTAACCTCTGGGTCACAGACTGTGAAGTGATTTCATTACAGTCACACCCTCGCTGTGATTTCCTCTGTTGGTACAAGGAGACTCCCTTGCCATCCCCAAAGAGTGACAGGAAAATACACATCTCCTGCCCTGCCCAGCACAGTGTCTCGGGACAGCATTGCTGGCAGGCACAGCTCCACACACAGCTTGTCTCACACAGCACACCCACCACATAACCCTGGGCCTCGTTTGCCTTTTGCCTGAGAAGAGCAAGCAGCGTCCAGTTCAATCAGAAATGAAAGCAGAGCCCATTCCAACAAACGGGGAGACAAGAGCCCCCAGTTCTCCTCCTGGCCACGGTCACAGCTCCTCTTGGGGCCAAGCAGAGCTGGGAGCGCACGAGACAGGGAGAGGGCTCTTGGAGAACAGAAGAACCTGCTTTAAGGACATGACATAGAGCTACAACAACAAGGGAGAGAGAGAAGTAGAAAGAGACATACTGGAGAAGCTGACCATTGCGAAATGCTGACACCGGTCTCCTGTGAATTCGATCGGACACCTACCGGAAGAGAGAAAACCAGAAAGAGAGAAACAAGATAGCAAAATGACACCCAAACAGGCTGAACTGAGGCCCCTTCGGGTCCCTTGCACGGCTTCTATCCATCTGCTCTCAGCCTTCACCCTTACCTGCAGCCCTAAGCCCTAGCCCAAAGCTGACACCAACAGCCGTCCCTGACTACACCATTCTACATCCACCGCTGTGCCCGGGAGGTTTTAAGGAGTGTGGTGCATTTTTTGTCTTCAAACATACTTTGCTTAGGATCTGGCATGTACAATCGCAAAGGCAGTTTCTCCAAACATCTCTGTCCGAAGAATCCGTTTGGACATCTGGAGGGGAAAAGGGGAGAAATCACAGAACATGTCTGGCACAGTTCTTGAGGTCAGAAATAAAAAAAGTGCATTGTGATGAATGGAAAAAAAATAAAGGCTTTACAGGTGTATTTACTCCTTGCTTTGCTTTAACCAGGCACCTGCAAACATCAGTATTCCAGCTCTGGTTTTGACCTGGGCCTTCAAGCAGGCACCGAACCCTCCTGCCCTGTCCTGCTCTGCCTGCCTCCTTCCTTCTCACCTGCTAGAAGCACCAGCTGGCAGGAAGATTGAGATGGGCTGGATGCTACTTTCAAAGACTCCAAGGAGCTGCTCTCTAGACAAGACTGGCAAGAGGCACCACAGAGCAGTGAGTGGCTGCTCAGGCGACAGCGAGCGCTGGGTATGGAAAGTGAGTCCCTGTTATCACCCCAAAAATATCCAGGGGTGTTCCAGGGAAAAAGGGTTACATGGCAGTTAGAGAGAAAGCATGTGCAGAGTCTCTGTGTTAACAGAGAGAAAGGGACAGAGAAGAAAGCTGAGCCAAAGAGGTGTCACATGCTGTCCAGCTGCAAGGCTCTCTCAGGGTCTCCCAGCCAATGTCACTTGATGGGTCAGGATGTGCCAGCTCATGGCCACCAGTTACACACTGGAATGATGGTGTAGTGGCAAGGAAGGTGCCCTGTAGATGAAGGACACCAGGCACAGGCACCAGCCCATGAGTATCCCCCCAGCTGAGCCATGTTTTGGGAGCCCAGGGACGTGGGCAGGGGCCATGAAGGTGCAGCAGCACCAGCACCCTCTGTGTCATGTCCCATCACCACTGCAGGTGAACCTGGGATGCAGTGGGAGCCCAGCCTTGGGTGGTCAAACACTTCTCCCCCAGGCACTTGTCTCTCTCTCTCACTCCACATCTTTTCTTCTGGATTCCTTGGATAGTCCCGCAAAGTATCCCCAGCCTTCTTGAAGTCCCAGCTCTCACCTGCCTGTCCCACAACACACTCCCTTCTCAACCAGCCTCTCCCTCCTCTGAGCTTAAGAGGGTTTTATCTTTATACCATCCTAACATCTGTTTTCCAGCTTCCCAGGTAAGTGGAGCTGCAGACTCTGCACCTTGTACACGTCAGACCTTCCTCGGTCTCAGCTGTCACCCACAAGGTCTCGCTGTCCTTCAGTGCTGTCCTTCAGTGCTCTGCAACTGGACGACAAGGAAGGGACTGAAAGACAACTCAGCTAAGAGTACATGGAGCAGAGGCCAAGCCTGATGTCAGTGGCTCAGCCCCTGGACAGTCCACTGTGAAGCACAGCAAGAGGCCAGGGCAGCCTTGGCACAGTGTCCATGTGATGGGATGGAGCAGGGCAGATCCAGGTCCAAGCCCAGGTTCAGGTTCAGGCTGCGTGCAGAACACCTTGATTTTTAACAGTTGTACCTCATGATGGACACACACTGATCTGGGTCAGGAGATGGGAGGGAGTATTGGGGGGTCTCAGCTGTACAGACCAGAGATACACCAGCCCACCAGTCAGGCCTGCAAGGATACACACTCCCAAATGGGAGAGGTGAGACTCAGCTGAGGTCTGGAATGGGCTTGAGGAGGTATCAGATGGCTGAGCATGAGGCAGGGCAAGGTGTCAAGTTGCACCTTTGAATCCTGCATGGTCCAAGGAGAAGATATAGCCAGTTAAAGGCTACATAATCTCTCCATACCATCTATTGGTCTTCTGGACTTCAACATCTCCACAGCTCCAAACCTGTCCTTTCCTAAAGAACCATTTCGCAGTTCTTCAAGGCAGGATTTTCCAGGTCCATGGAATATTCCACCTGCTATCCCTCTCACAGAAGCAAGCTTTGGAAAGACCTGAGTGGCCAACCCAGTTTTGGCACTTGATTTCTTGCTGGATTTCACTGCAGTTTTGGGGAGCCTGCACTGTGCAAAAAAACCCCGGTGAGCCTTCACTGCCCATGGCTAAATCTGGTTTTTGTGTTAGACAGCATTTGTTTTTTGGGGCACGTCCATGTGGGAGTGTGCTGGGTGACCTCGAGGGCATGGCTCTGCATTGGACAGCACTGAGGTCCCCAGTCAGACACTTCAGCTTCTCAGTACCCAAGCCACTTCCAAAACTGGAAATTTGACTACTTGGTCAGGCAAATAACTTTGAAAAATTCCCTCTCTTTTCTCATTCTTGGATGTTCATCTTGGAGCACAGGAAAGAGAGACACGACCAGCAATGTCATTTCAGCTGCCAAGGAAAGCCCAGCCCAAGGGATGACCATCAGACATGAGGCCTCTTGACTTTCCCTGTGATGAAGCAGAGGAAACTGGTGCTGGGAAGTGAAGAAGATGTCCCGTTGGCAATCAAAGAGCACAAACCTGAGGCATCTTGGGTGGCACACACGCACGAGGACAGCCCTAGGGAAGCAGGACTTTGGAGAAACCTTCAAGAGACTGCACTGGGGTTTGATGAAGGCATCCAAAATAGAAGGTGTCTTCCCAATCCTTTTTGAAGTTTACTCATCACCACTGACAGAGTCAGGAACAGTCTTCAAAGGAACCCAGTTTAGCTTGCACCGTGCTTCCCGTTTTTCTGGGATCTGAGATTTCATGTGTGTTGTGAGCACACTGAAGGTCCTCAGGGGTGCTGCTGAATGAAGCAAACCTCCCACCCACCCCAAAAAGGGGTGCTTTGTCTGAAAGAAACTAAAACTGTCTCAGCTGCTAAAAACTTGCTCGTCTGCAAGAGGTGAGCCAAGGTTGGAACTCCAGCGTGACCGAGGCTGTGTGCCCTTAAGGCAAGACTGAAAATAACAGTGAAAACGGGCAGAAGGAAATAAAAACCCAGAGAAAGAAATTGGTGACACATGAAAAAGCAAAACAGAAAGGTGTCAAAGAAGCTTTGATGCCATGACAGCTACCATATAGCCCATCTTCAGATCTCTGCAGGCAGCAGAGCGTGGGTGGGGAGAAGAGCTTTCTAGACAGAAGGCAGTAGATAACTGTCTTCTCTGTGTCTAGGACAGCTCAGGCTTTTCATCTTTAGTTACTAGTGAATCAGCACTGGGAAAAGTGACAGAAAAAAAGCCCTCATGGACAGGAGCACCCTCTGTCACCTTCCAAACTAGTGTGCAAAGTGTTGAGACACAAGTACTGCTCTGGTGGACCTGGGTTCTGGCTCTTCATAAGCAAGGCTGCAGGCAGAAACAGTGACCAGGAGACCTTTGAGACCATGCAGTGCTTTTGGTTACTTTCTTTTTAGCTGTCTCGTACTTCTAGGCTGGTGAAGATGATTTGTTATTTATCACTGTAGCTCCAGATGTGACTTCTAGGAAAGAAATTTCCAGTGTGCATGGCACATGAGTGTCCCAGTCCGGACAGGAAGAGCAATGAATTCTGCATGCAGAATCTGATGCCAGTGGTAAGGGCTTCTGGGCAGCTCTCCTTCAGTGAGGGATATACTAAAGTCAAGGTTCACCAAAGTTGAGAGCCATGAGATGGTCTTTGATCATGGCATCCTTCTTCCTGCACATTTGACCCCAGGTCAAGAGATTTTGTCTGGCTGTCCCAGAAAAACAGAGTCCCCCCTTCTTTGGAAAGCTCTTGCAGGGACTACACACATGGTGGACTATTCCTGCAAATATAACCTTTGGAGTTTCTTGTCCCCTCACTGCTGTCACAGAGGCCCAATGGGTCTCTCCTCAAAGGCCAAGGGAAAAGGACAAAGGTGTGTCTGCAGGAACAGTCCTGGGGAAGGAAAAGGCTGCACCAGCTTCTTGCAGGCAACACCTTGTCCCTTCTCCAGCCAGAGAGGAGAACCCCAAAACTGCCCTGGCTTAACTCCATCCCTCTGCACCTGATTGCCACATCTCAAACTTACTTGCAAATGCCATTTGTAAAACTGGTCAGGGATTTTTCTGTCCAGATTCTCTTTCCTGTTGTTGCTGGAAAATTTCCAATTCTTTCAACTTTGACCTTGAGACCTCAAAAACATCCACAAAGTTTTGCTCTTGGGTTCAGGGTGAATTGCAGTGAAATATTTACATGGTAACAAAAATGCAGTAAGATGATTAGGCAAATAAAGCATCTCAAAAAGTACAAACCAAAATGGTTTGAAGGATCCATTTCTATGTTTTGTTTGCAGAGCACTTATTTCAGAAAATAGAGAAACTTTGACATTTTGTCCTCTATCAGGGCAGAGCAATAGTGATTGTTAATTATTATTTGCTACTATTAAATGATAACATCATTATCATAATGTTCCTGCTGGAAGTAAAACTTTTACTTGCCAGCTGTTGATCTAAATATTGCAAGGGTTGACACTTTTCCTTTGGTTCCCTAGATCTTAATTAAAATACGCCCAGTTTGGCAGGTCTCATAAAGCAATCCATGTTACAGAAGAATGTGAATGAGCAGGTGTTTCAAAATAATGGGATAAGGAGAAACTGTAGCAGAAGGACACAATGCACTGATGTAAGCAAATGGAAAAAAAAATGTTTCAAGCATGTTGCTTTTTTTGTGCAAAGGGCTGAAAAAGAAGACAGTTCTGTCATTGTCCCCTGACCAGTCCCAGATGATCAGGCTCTGGGGAGCCCCAAAAGGCTGGACTCCACAAAACCACTGATGGGAAGAAAAGAAAGCAACCAGAACAAATGCAGAGGCCTTATCCAGAGCAGCTAATCAAGGCATGTTTGCTGTGCAGTGGAGTCCAAACCTCAGGGACATCCACTGCTGGGCTCGGTGAAGGCAACAGCGCCGTGGGCTCTGCGCCGTTGTCTTCACCGAGCCCTGGAGTTGCAGGATCAGCTTCCACACTCTGATGGGGCTCGAGGGTCTGATACAGCTACACGTGCATTAAACAGGACACAGTGAACAGGATGCACAGACGGGCCACTTGAACCTGAAAAGGCACCTGATGTCGTCACCCAAGATAAACAGCATGAAAAACGCAAGGAACGAGTCCTGGCTGGTTCAGGGGATTTGGAACAGGATGTGGAGATTTTCACCCCTAGCTCAACACTGCGGGCTCTGCATTTCCAAGGGCGTTGCAAAACCTCCCCACAGAAGTGCTCATATATCCATGGCAAAGTGACATCCCTGTGGTTGTGCAATGAGCACCAAATGCCACGGGGAGGGGTGGCACAGCTCCGGGCACTGCAGGGGAGCTGAGCAAGCCATGGCCATAGGAGATGTGCCTGATGTTCACCCCTTTGGATGGAGCTCTGGGAAAAACATGCCAAAGCTGCCAGCATGGCTAAACCTCTTGAATGATCTTTCCCTTTCCTGGGAAAATCTGCAGGCGACAGTATACATGGAGGAGGTGAACGTGTGATTTTGAAAACTGGTGACTGGGATACATCAACTAGCTTAGAAATGAACTGATCTTTTCTCTTTTGCTTTGTTTTGGGTTTTATTCTCTCTTTGACTTATACTTTTTGCCTGAGGTGCTCTGACCTCACTCCCTCACGTAATGCAGTGCTATCACCTCAAACCCAGAAAGTCTGTTTATCTGTCAGCATTTGTAAATCCTTCAGCTTCATTCCTGGTCCAACATGATAAGGGGGTGTTGCTCTGTAGCATTGTTTAAGTCTTCTGATCCCATGCAAGATCCTGGCTCAGGGTTCCTGTCACCTCTGATCACACACAAGAGTCACGAAGAGCATTTAAGTGGAATGATGAGACTTGGCTTTCTTTGTTTGGTTGGGAAGACCCCAACTGTACCTAATGTGTGCCAAGACCTAACTTGGAAGAAGAGCACTTCTGTTGTGATACACACACTAGCACAGCCCTGTGGCCATAGAACCAGCAATAAAAGATTAGAGCAGCCTCAAGCTACTCCGAGATGTACCAAGAACCCAGTGGGTTCCAGGATGGAGGCAGACCCAAGACCAGTGGCTGCCAGTCATCCCAAACCTGTGTTCAACTGGACACAACAAACCAGTCACCACTGCCCAGTGTCCCAGACCAGCTCAAGGCACTGAGACTTGCTTGTGTGCATCCCTTCTGCAGGCACTGGAATTTGCTGTACTCAGACTCTCCTCTTCCCTACAGTTCTGGTGAGAAACCAGTCCAACTCATAAGGTCTCTCCAAGCAAAATGGTCTGGAAAAGGGTCAAGAAATTCTTCCTGTCGAGAGTCTAGAGCTTGTTGATTTATAGGGGCTGAGGAGTCAGTTCTGTATATGTGTGGCTCAGTCATTTCCCAGGTTTATGCCGAAAACTTGTAGAATATCTGAGGCAGATCCCACTTCTCCCATCCAACTTCCAAGTAGATAACAGCAGAGATTGTTTTATGTTCAGGTTTCCTTTGACACCACCATGTGCAGAACTTACTTCAAATCAAGGACAAAATTATGCAAGAACACAATCCAAAAAAGACACAATTTCTGGAGCAGCTCCAAATCCTTCCTGGGCTCTTCCTTGGTGAAAAAAAGGAAGACCATTGTCCAAGGTCTAGCTGAAGTGCATTGAAAAGAGAGGGAGGAGGTGGGGTTACAAGCAAATCCTTTTATCCTGAGAATTTAAAAGACCAGGAGGAACACGTTTCTGGGAAGCCTGTTATAAAATAATAATAAAAGGCCAGCTGCCAATTTAGTCGATATCTGCAACAAATCAAGCATGAACCACTTCAGGAGAAGAAATTATTTGAGAACTCAGCTGTTCTTTTTGCTCCAGACTGCCAGAGGGGACATCTACAGGAAGCATCTTCTGCGCTTCTGGACAGCTGCAAACAATGGAATCCACTCCAGGAAGGACGGTGGAAGGTAATAAAAAAGGACACTAAACTTGTGATGGTTGGCATTGGAAAGGCTGGTGCTGGGGAGCCAGAATCCCCTAGCACCTAGTGAAGGAGGGCTGCAAGCTGGCACAAGGGGGCCAGAAGACCCCCCAAGGCCCTGCTGACTCTAATCAGAAGAGCAAAGTGGAAACAGCACATGGGCACACAGGTTGTTCCTGGCTGAAGCTGCTCTTGTTTTATCTCTAAGGCCTTTGAAGAGATTGTGAGCAGAGGGACCCACCAATCTCCTCCATGCTCTTGTTTCAGAGGCACAGGGAGGCTGGAGGACCAAGGCCAGTGTTACAGAGATCAGAAATGCAGGTCAAACCTGCATCTTTACCTCCTCTCCTTTCTCCTCCGAGGCTGTATCGTGGCATCTTTCACAAACCACAGCAGCAGGTCTTCTGTCTTGGTGCAATGAGGAAGCCGTGGAACATGTCAGCACTTTGCCAGTTTGCAGGCAGACAGAGGTGAAGTCTGTTTATCCATCAGCAGCCTTCCCCAAGAATCATCCGTGTCATTGGGAGAACCATTTTATGGGAAACACTATGTTCAGTTCAAAGGCTTCCTCATTCCCCAATAACTGTTGCCCTCCGGAATCCAGAAACTCCAAAGTTACACCACTTCAAAAGCCAGGATTTCTTATCTTCAGCCTGTGATTCAATGATAAAAACACCCAAGGAGAATGAACATTCTCAAGCAGCAGGACAAGAAATGACTGTGCCATGTAGAAGGCACTTGGGTCCCCTGGGTTACTGTGAACACGGAGTCATCTTTTCAGGCAGATGAGCAGTGACAGCGCAGATCTTCACAGCACCTCCATTTGGGTGACTCTTTCCTGCCCTTCCATACACACCTGTTCAATGGCCATCTGCTTTTAGCAAGTGGCATCTTGGAGCTCATCAGAAAAGGAAATCACTTTACCAAAGCAAGGAATCCAGGCTTTCAAATGATATGAAATAATTAGGTCTGTTTTGTGCGGTACATGAAATCTTAATGGAATCCATCACTGAGCTTTCCCTCTGTTCATCAGCTGTCAGAGCAGCCTGGTTGGAAGGCAGGATGTTGTTCATGAGGCTGGAGTTGCCTGCTGAAGATACTTGATGACTCCCACATCTATCCTTTGTTAGGAAAAACTGATTTTTACATATGGAAGGAGTTCAGGTAACTTATTGCAGTTAGAAACTGATCCTATCTGAAAAGTCTTGATCTGGATTCCAGTTCTTCCCAAAAGAAATAGCCTTGAAATCCATGCTTTTAGCATGACCACATTGCTTACAGATAGAGCTATTGATTCACACACTCCTCCAGGCTTCAAGCCCTTCCCAGAATGGAATGACTGGAACTGCTGGGGCTTCCTGGGGCTACAGCTACACCAGAATAGTGGCTGTGACTTTGTTTCATTATATGGGGCTTTCCCCATGTGTCCTGTGGGGAACACGGGCAGGATGAGCCTACAGTGCCACAAGAAGCCAGTGGCAGAGACAACTCCCCTGAACCTCAGGGCTGTGGCGTCCAAGGGTTGCTGTCCCCCCCCACACACAGGAAATGTGGAGGATCACAGCTTCTGGTTTCTGCCCTACCCAGCTCTTTAAATGCCTAAAGGGGCAAGTCTGGGAGAACTGGAAGATGCTGTTCATCCCCTGTCCTTCCACCACAGCTGGCCCTGCACTGGAGGAGAATGAGGAGGGAGCAGTTGTGCTCATTGTGATCCAGCCCAGGAGCCTTCCAGGATGATGGTTCTGTTCAGCTGTGTCCTTCAAGGCCTGAGGAGCTGAGGTGTGTGGTGAGCATCTCGTCACTCAGTGGCAGTGGTGCTGGGCTGACATCCACGGATGTCACACACCTTTGGCTGTGTGTCTCCATGGAGAGGTCTCTGGGTCACACAGGGAGAAAATTGTCAGCTCTGGGATTCTCCAAGCTGGGCACAGGGATGCCTGGGTCACCAGGATAGCTCAGAAGCTGGCTCCATCTGCTCAGTGGATGCACACCCAGGGCACCACCTCGTGCTCACCCTGCAGGAGCCCAGGGGCAGGTACAGGTGTGCTCTGGGTACCTACATGTCCAGCACTGGCAACCAGACTGCACTAGTTATTCAGTCACTATTAGACTTGGGGGGGTGATGGGGTGAGATGCTTTTGGGCTTTCTGGCTGTGAACCAGAGGGGAAAAAGTCTCACATCCCATTCCACATCCCTCAGACTATGCAGCCCCACTTCAACCTCCTCAAGAAATTTCATTTTAAGGATAACTTAATATGTGTCTCTGTTTTTTATTGCAGGTTTAAAGGGGAGAAATAAACAACCTGCAGTGGCCACAAAGCAGCACAGAGGGGTGAAGAGCTGTGTGCTAATCCTGGGCCCAGGAGATACAGATAGGAGAGGTAAAGGGCAGGTCCCAGCAAGGGACCACCTCCAGTCATGGAGGAGAGGGGACTCGACTTTCCCTGAAGCTGCAGAGGAGAAAGGGAAAAGAGGGGAAAAGAAACAGCCAGGACAAACATATCCTTAGAGGAAGAAAATCCAGGAAAAGTCAACAGTGAGACACACACAAAAAAGGGAAAATACAAATCCTCACCCCCCACCCCTGCCCCTCTGGTGTCCCCTTTTGAACCTGCACAGCTTACACTGCAATTGCCAGGAGAATTTCAGAGCTCCCGCTCCTCTGGCAGCCACGCAAAGGTCTCCTCTCCCCCAGCCAAGTAGTTTCCATATTGACACAAGAACTCCACTCACTTACTTGCACGACAGCTGATTAATCCCCTCGATGTAGTAGCACACCCCACCATTGACACAATAGGACTTGGCTGTTTCGTTGCATTTTCTGGCGTGCCCGGACCAGGAGGAGAGAGTTGTGGTTACTGCAGGGGAAAACAAAAACACACACAAAAAAGGATATATTGTTATTTCCTTTGTTGGGCAATTCTGCTTCCTCAGATGGTTTTCAACTAGTTCGTTTGCCAAAGTAAAAACCCCAGAGTGACAAACCTTGGCCTGTGCCTTCAGACCCACCTTCACCTCTCTGGGTCCTGGGGCTGCAACCTGACCTTTCCTTTTCCAGAAAAAGTGGCCAAGTGAGTGAGGAGTTGAAGGCACATCTTCCTCTGAGGGGTCAGCGTGTCAGGGGAAGATCATCTTATCAGCAAGCTGTAGGGAAGAGTGCCCCCTTCCCACCTCTGCTTGCCCTCCCCTTGTGCTCAGAACCCTGGGACATCAGGCAAGCAGCAGGTCAAGAGAAGGATGTGCTGGAGAGTCACAGACTCGTGGTGACCTGCTGCTGAGGCCTGAGCACATCACGATACTGGACTGAGATCCAGAGATACTGAAGAGGACATTGCACTGCTTCGTATCACTGGGAGGGAGTAAGTTTTCAGAGCCAGAAGCAAGTGCCATCCTTGTCCCAGGAGCAGGTCTAACACAAGCAAGGTCAGGTCCATCTCTCTCTCCCATTTTCTGAGTGTTTCCCTGTCCTGCCTCAATGACAGTGGTCCAGCAGGAGAAGTCCTGCTGGGAACAACCCAGCAGAAGTTCAGCAGGAGAAGTCAGTCAGCCCCAGTTCATGCTAAGAGAGAGGCAGCCAGCGTGACTCAAGTTTCCTGGGACACAGGTGCTTTTCCAAATCTAAAATTTCTTTCTGGAGAAAAGCTTTCCAGACATGTGAGCTACAAAAAAAAAAAACAACAAACCCCTGAAGGTATTCTGCAGAATTTCTCTGTAATTCCTGTCTCTGAATGACTCAGACAAATTTACAGCCCAAAACAGATTCTCTAAAGGTAAGACAGAGGCTTCTAAGAAGGGAAAAACCTTTTGTTAGAGCAACTGATACAGGTCACAAAAGCTGAGCAGCTTTGGGAAATGCAAACCCATTTTCACATAACTCAGAGAAGGGCTGGGCACTCAAAAACATCGTTTTTTTATGACTGAATACTTAACATCATTAAAGATAGTCCCCTTTCCTGGACTACCCACCTTGCCCAGACCATAACACAGTTACACCTCCAGCAGTGTGGCCACTACCTACTTTCCAGCACCTTTTATGCTGCAGTCAAGGTTTCTGAGGAGATACTCTCTTCCATCCTGTTTTCCAAAGCATAAATGAACCTTATGGAGAGGTTAGTGACTTCAGACCCGTTCCTGAGACAGAACTCCTCATTGACACAGGATTTGAGGAAGAAGGCTTGAATCAGAGCCCCAGGCAGGAGCTACTCAGAACCACAGGAGGAGCAGCAGGGCAAGACACAGCCTGCCCTGGAGGGAGCTGGGGCTGCTCCCCACTCCTCAGGCAGCCCCTGTGCTCATCCCTCCTTTGCAGAGGCTCAGAGGCTGCATCCCACACCACCAGAGCCAAGCATTGCATTCCCATGCTCTGGCTCCAGCCCAGCACCTGCTGGGCACATCCAGGCTCTCCCAGGTAAAGGAGGGCTCCCAGCACCCTGTGAAGCCTCTCACATGTGGGTCATGCTTGGCACCTGAGCAACCAGACAAGCTGGTTCTGGCTCTCCTGCTTTTAGGACTCTCTGCCTGCGTGGGGTCTGTGCTTCTCCAAACGGGGAGTTTCCCACTGGGCTGTGCCCAGCTGGAGCAGCCCACGCTGTTACCTGTGCTCAGCTCAAGGCAGAGCCAAGCTCACTGCATTGTCCCACTCCATTGTCTTCCATTCCCACAGGGAAGCCCACGCCTCCCACTGTCTGGCAGCACCAGGGCTGTGCACCGAGCAGAGCTGTTTCCACGCCTGGCCTTGAATAACCATCGCCTCTGGCTCTGTATTTTCACAGTCACCCAGGGCACAGCAAGCTGTCCCAAAGTGCTCTGCACAGCAGACATGGCAAATGCTTCAGCAAAAGACCCAAAGTGCTCAGGGCCCTGGGACAGCAGAGAGCTGCTCCCTCCGAGGGCACGTCCTGCCAGCCAGCTGGGAGCCAAATGTGGGCAGAGTGTGCACACACTGCAGTGTCTGCAGAGGGTGACATGACCAAGCCTCCAGTGAAGGGCTCGCAAAAAACCCTCAAATGTGAAAACTCCCTAACTTCTGTAAGAAATTCAGCTCTCCCTTCCAGTTAAGATTAATGGTAACTAGAAGCCAAAGCCATTACGAGTCTGTATAATTTATTGGGGGAATGCAGACTCATTGTACAGACAAGGGTGTATAATTCATACCTTTATGAGATAGTAGCACATTTTTACTGGGGAAAGCAGAGCTGTGTGTCTCTGATAAACAGCAAGTGTGCCATCAGATCAGGGAGCACTGAAACTCCATGGACCAAAGCACTGGTGCAAATTGAAAGGCACATGGATGAAGAACAAGCACAGCCTGCAGGGAGCCATCACCCCTGCAACCATCAAATATACCACTTGGTAGCAAGCAAAATGATCCATCTGGCAAAGCCTTGCATCATAAATCCTGCAGGAAAGGATTCTGGAGCAAGGCTTCCCACAGCAAGGCAGGAGCAGAGAGGGAGAACTAAAAACAGAGCCCAGAAACCTCCCCGTAGAAAACACGTCAGGTAACAAGGTACCCAATCCCCCAAGAATGGTGGATGGGAAGATGTTGTGTGATGTTGTGATACCAGCTAGAGATTGCATGGGATCTTCATGCCACAGAAACAGTTTTGTCCCTTCGAAATTTTGTTCCTTTTAAACAAAATAAAAGGAGCCTGACATGAATGAGGCTCCTTTTCCTCTTCCAGGAGGAGAGCTCTCAGTAGAGCTGTGCCTGTCAGGAAAAGACATGGTTGATCACCTCTCCTAGAAGCATCTTGCTAATGTCATTATCCTTTAATCTCTGTTTTCTGCAAAAAAACCCTGTTCTGCCTTTTATCCCAAAGAAGCACAAAGTGTTTTGAACTGAACCACAGGCTCATATTACTGTGGTGCATTTGTCAGCAGCAGAGATGTAGCAAAGGCCACAAAGAGAGGCAGCAAGCCCAGTTCCCTGCTGAGAAGCATCATGAAATGAGTCCATTTTAGACTGTGAGTTGAGCAGTACCAGTCAAACCAAAGCCCTGTCTCGTCCCTGACAGTGGCCAGGGGATGATGTTTGAGGGAGAAGGTCAGCATGAGCAAGCAATGATAATTTTCTTCTGGTCATCTAAGATGAGCAGCTCAGAGACAACCTAAATCATCCACAGTGTCATTACATTCAGTGGTCTTTGCTGGATTTCTCTAGTTGCTGTTTGGACAAATCTAATCTCGTAGCACCCACAATGTTTGTGACAAGAGCTCCAGTGTTATGTACAGTATGCAAAGGCACATCTCCACTTACTCCTTTTAACCTTTTCTGGCTCTTGTATCAGAAAAATATAGTCGTCATCCCCCCTTGTTTCCCCTGTGCTACCTGTGGCCTTACAGGTGCCTTGCAGCCACAGCCAGCATCTCCTTTCCTAGCTGGAAAGCAATGATTTCTTTAGTAGCTTCTTAGATAGAGGTTGATCCAGCTAAAGATCTTTTTTGCCTCATCTCTGATTCAGTTTTTCCCCTTGGAAATGGTGAGACCATACTGCATACATGATATTTATGGGATATTTATTCCACTCTTGGGAATTCCTAACATTCGTTTCGAGGTTTGATGTACTGAATACAGATCTCTATGTGTTATAACCCTTGAATCTCACTGTTGTGTGGTAACACGGAGTCTGGAGCCTTCCAAGGTGCCTGATTGCTCTGGGATGTTGCTGCAGCTGTGACTGCACATTCATGAGGGCAACTACTTTGGGAGCAAGGATGGAGAGACCTGCCAATTCAGAGAGAAGCTCTGGTGGGGGGACAGAGGGAAGCAAAATGTCTCACTTAGAAACTATTGACTGAAAACTATTAACTTGAAACGTGGCCCTCTGTGACAACACGTGGCTGCAGATCACAGACCAGCACCCTGAAGCATGAGGCCAAGGGAGATTTCAGTGAGTTACCATCACACTAGTGGGATAATTCCCAGATTCACAGGTTACTTCATGTTTAGCTGTATTTCCCTATCAGTCTGGGGCCCTGGAAATACCTTAACAACCATCTACCTGATCCTGAGTCACCTGCAGTTTGATGGCTGTTGTTGGTCAAGTGAACCTCACACTGTTTATTTGCAGCCTTGCAGGTACATTCACCTCTGTGCCAAACATGGGGCAGGAGTGCCTGGTGATCCAGAAACTACTTTACACAGCTATTCCACCTTAGCTCACGTAGTACCAGGCTGATTTTACCCCCTTTTGGCCGGTGTGGCAGAATAAGTCCTTCATTCAAGCTCCAACACAACTCCATCTATCCCAAATGACTTGAAAGTTGTAAAATTGCTGGATAAATGGAGATCTGAATAAGCAAGGGAACAGTTTAGGGTGGTAGCTGCAAACTGGGTGGGACTCACGAAGGAGGTGGGACATGATGAGGGGGTTGTGCAGTAACATGAATCATGCACCAATGGTTTCCCTTGGTTCTTAAACAAATTAAAAGCAGGAAAGAGGAAGCTGTGCATGAGGAAAGCTATGGAAAGGAAGTGGTGACATTTCTTTTTGACCAGTGGGAATAAGCAAGGTGCCCCTGAGACACACAAACTGGCCAGAAAGCTTCTGCAGGGTGAAAGAAGGGCTGGAGCAGCTCACCCATCAGCAGGTCAGATCTCCAGCTGGAATCTGTCCCGGGACTGGGAACAAAGCAGAAGGGAGTGAGGAGGTGAGGACAACGAGAAGAGAGGAATAAGGAGGTGAGGACAGAGGAAAGAGGTGAGTAAGGAGGTGAGGACA